ATCAGCTTCCGGGCCCAATACAAGGTGTTGGTTATTACCTTTAAAGCCATAAATTGCTTGGGTCCAAGCTATCTCAGGGACCGCCTTCTCCCATACAATCCTCCCCGCGCTCTCCATTCCTCTGGGAGGAACTTGCTGCAGCCTCAAAAATTAAGGCTTGCGATGACCTCCCAGATCTCTCTGCTGTCGCCCCCAAACTCTGAAACGACCTGCCGGATGAGATCCGTCAGTTTACATGGTTAGACAGCTTTAAAAAGGCTGTCAAGACAGATCTTTTCCGGCAGGCCTTTCCAGATTAATTATCCTGGCCTTGGGCATTCCCACCAGCAGTGTTCTCTGCGTGGCCCCATCTACGGATGAAGAACATTGCCGTACGTCAATGTGTCATTTTGTAGTGTGTTTTAACTGTTTTAACTTTTAACTGTTTAAATTTGTAATTTTAATTGTTATCTGATTTAATACTGTTTTAAGGGGGGGGGATTGTTATTGGGATATTTCATGTGATTTTATTGTTGTAAGCCGCCTGGATTGGGTCCCCAAGGGGCGGGATATAAATAAATGTTGTTGCTGTTGCTGTTGCTGTTGTTGTTGTTGTTATTGTTATTATTATTATTATTATTATTATTATTATTATTATTATTATTATTATTATTATTATTATGTTTATTTTGTTTAAAATAATTTATAGTTGTTCTAACTAAAATTCTATGAACAGAAGCCAGCTGAAACAAGTCTGTGACCTATAAGGGACTATCCTCAATAATTGTGCAGAAGATTCAAATGGTTCAAAATGCTGCTGCCAGGCCTGGAATGGTCCCAACTCAGCAAACAACTCTATTTCTGTTTTATCTGTACAGCTATCTACTGGTTTCCAAGCTTGTATAACTGTATTTCTTCATTTTAAGAACAAGATTGTAACAAGATTTGCTGTGCAGTTAACAAATAAACTTGTCAAATTTCTTTGCAGCCTTCAAGGTACAGTTTTTCTTTAAGGCATCTGGAACGATGCTACATGCTATTGAAAGTTTAACATCATTGTTAAAATTACCACACAATGAAATTTCAAAAGAAAAAAAGCAAAATTGAATAATGAGCAGAACAAATATGAGACACCTACCCTAGTAGCTTATCGATGTTAAATTGGTCAGTAGGTTGAAGGCCTCTGAACATTTCATTGAATGATTCATTTACCCATTCAACTGCTGTATTTACAGATTCATATCTTTCCTTTTCATCAGCATCAAATGCTTCGGGTGAGGCATTTTCAAGCATTTCAGCATGAGAAGAGATCAGGCTGGAACAAACCCGCTGTAGAATATTAAAGATCTGCTTACTATTGAAATTTCTCATAATAAACATGGCATTGAATTTTTTTCCATTGAAGGCTTATTTCTTACTGATATGTTTGGATTTTTCTTTCCATTAACAAATGTAATAAATGTCAAGTATTTCACCAAGGTATTCAAGCAATTTTTAACACATGAGAATTCTATCCACAGCTTTTGGTTTTATTTGTATATCTTTGTTAATATGAAGAGCACTGTATATGAAATTTTGAACAATGCACATACCCTAGTTTATATGGTTGTATTTATCCTTCGATTCTTTTTTGGATATGAGTTAAAACAAATTTTTCAAAAGATGAAAGGGAGCTACAAAAGAGGAAAAGGACCTTCATTCTTCCATTCACTTAAATCTTCCAATAAGAAGCCCATGAGCCTTATTCCCATTTCAGGAATTGAAGTAAAGTGCCTCAAAGCCCACTCACTACTGTTTTCTACTTTTATTTTAAAAAGATAATTAAAAAGATAATGTCCCAATGAGTTATGGCAAGACCCCTTTTTTGCACACTGTGTAGAACTTTTGAGTTTTCAGCTTGAAAATGAATGCTCACCTTAACTTGAAAACATGTTGTCAAATTGTGAAGTATCTACCACCATTTTCTGATGAGTTACAGTTGCCCCCCTCCTTTCTTTTCTTTTAGCAAACCTCATTTTGGAATTTCAATGTGATACTCAGCAGTGCAAAATGAACAACTAAAACACTCTCTGTCAAATTTTGTGATGCCTAGCACACTGTCCCAATGTGGCATTCACAGAAATTCAGTTTCATCATTATAGATGAGTTTTAATATGTCTCTGTTTTTCTATAAATAACACAATCGGGGTTCAAAACCCGATTTGTCAGGGTTGCAGTGAGGAATCACATCCTCTTGTTGCTGCAACCCTGACACAAATCTCAGGTTTTGAACTCTTGAAAGTGATCTTAACCATAGAATAGAACTTTCCATTACCATAAACTGCTTTCACCAAGACTGATTTTTCATTAGGAATGAAGGAAAATAATTTTTTTAAAGCCCTTCTCCATATTCTGGAAGACAAAGTGTTGCATTCCAATGCCAATGAAATGCAGTTTCCAGCATTATTCACTGTTGACTTTGCTAGCTAAGACTGTTGGCTGTGGCAGTTCAGCAACATCTGGAGAGCTGTATCTATCATATACCAGTCCCATACAGCATATGCACTGCAGAATTAATGCAATTTGACACCACTTTAATAGCCATGGCTCTATGCTATGGAATTCTTGGATTTGTAGTTTTGTGAGATATTCAGCCTTCTCTGATATTGTCCATGCAGGCCAAAAGGCCTGAGTTCCCCCTGGCCTCACATAATCTATATCAGATGACTCAGGCCAAAAACCCTGGGGCAGGATCAAGCATGATCCTGCCTGTCCAGATGCAGATCTGGAGGATCCGGCCTGACCCTCGGGTAAATAGCCTTGACCCTAGGTATTTTAAACCTAGTTTTCTGTAGTTTCTTGGAAACTGTGCAGCAAAAACAAGCTATTCACACACACTCCTGCTCCTTAACTTGTCATGCTGTCACTTTCACTTAGAAGCACCCATATCAGGGGCTTATGAGTGAAAGCAACGGTGCAGAAAGGTAAGGAGTGTGCACCTGTCCTGGGTCAGCACAGGGATGGGTATGTAAACACCCACCTATCCTTGCACCAACCCAGGTGAACATGGGGCCAGGAAAACATGGGTTCAGCCCATGCTTTTCTAGACCATCTGCTCAGGCCCTCTGTCAGAGACCTCTGGTGCCACAACAAACTACAAATCCCAGGATTCCATAGCACTGAGTTATGTTAAATCGGTGTCAAATTGCATTAATTCTTCAGTGTGATGGCAGCCTGAATGATTATCGGCATGCAGAACCCCATGATGATTACATGGAATATGAAAAATACAAGAATTGTATGTGATGTCATAGACTGTAGAAAATGTTACGGTATATATTAAGGTAATTTGATTTTGAATGCATTGAATAATAGAAGTAATTGGGTAAGGAGCTGGCAAGAGGGGATGAGCAAATGGAGATTGAGAGAGTGGCCTTGGCTACATGGGCACTTTATTCTGAGTTATCACTGTGTCCTGCTTACACAATTTTTAAAGCTTCTTCCCACATCCCAAAACTCACCTTTTGCTTGCAGGTATTTTGGGATGGGGGGTGTTCACTGATGGCAGCAGCTGCCTTTTCACTTGCCATCCCCATTTGTCACCTGGTGTCATCACTGTGGGCATGAGCCCTGGTGAAGTCAAAACAAGGCACCCAGAGCTGATAGTGTGGCTGGGAGCCTTGTTCTGATGTGAGGTGAGGAACAGAGACAGCATGGGATGGCAACCTTCTGCCATTGCCAGGGAGAGAGAGCAAGGGGAAAAATTGGGGGGGGGGGAATTGGGGTCCAGAATACTCTGGGAGCAGGAAGGACAAGCCCTGAGAGCCAATTGGTGGAATATTAGAAGGGATTTTAATAAGGTTGGTGGTTGACAGCTAATCTGGCATTTGGGGATTTGAGTGATTGGTGTGGGGTAAACAACTGTAAACTAAAGTTAAAAGAGTCAGTCAGTTTTGAGAATTGATGAGAATTAATAATGATTTGAGAATAAATGAACCTGCTTTGAGTGGATATAAGAATCTGAGTTAGTATCTTTGTAAAGAATAGTGTGAGTGAAACTGAAATATTTGTTTTAAATATATTAGATTATTCATCTGTTTTGCTATATTTAACATCTGTCAATAAAGTATTGCTTTTCTTTACAGCATATGCCTTTGACTTCTGGGAACACTAGAGACAGAGAGAGAGACAGAGAAAGCATTGGTTCAGATACAGTGTCTGTGGTGGCAGTAGTAAACAGAGAGAATTGATAGCTACACACTATCCCACTATATCACATGGGAATGATGAGGGTATCTTGTTGGCCCCACTGGTGGAAGTCAAGAGGAAGTCCTTGCACTGGTGGAAGAGGTGGGCTTAAGGGAAAACCCTTACTCTTGGTGGTAGCAGTGATGATTTGGGCAGAATCTTACAACTGGTGGCAAAAAGGGGGAGGGATAAAGAGCCATGAGCCTCACAACATGCAACACAAAGATATAAGCATGTTACTCTGTAAAATCAGTACGTGAAGAGATTTTGTAGCACCTCTGAGACTAACTGAAAAAAATTGGCAGCGTGAGCTTTCATAGTCTGAGGAAGTAGACTTATGTCTACGAAAGCTCGTGC